AAATCAGCACTGAAACCTTAGAAACAACCACAGCGATGGAGGACACACACCCATTTGAGCGATTCATAGATTTTTACTTTGAGCTTGGACTAAACTATAAAGACATTAAAACTGTGCTTTGCATTATATACAGTTTTCATATAAGCGAAAGACATCTGAAGAGAGTTCTTAGCGCAAGGGGACACACTCGCCACAAAGCGTACTCTGACCTGGCCGTCTTGGTTGAATTTATAGACAACCAATTGCAGTACTCTGGGCAGCTTCACGGATACCGATGGATGTACGCTAAATGCAGGGAACATGGACTACGCGTGAGGAAAGAGGATGTGCGCTTGGTTTTGAAGGAGCTGGATCCCCGAGGCGTCGCACTGAGGCAAGCAAGACGTTTCAGGCGGAGGAACTATTTTTCAAAAGGGCCGGATTTCATCTGGCACATGGACTCCTACGACAAACTGAAGCCATATGGCATCTGTATCAATGGTAGTATTGACGGTTTCTCGAGAAAAATAATCTGGCTTAATGCATACACAACAAATAGTAATCCGAAAGTGATCGGGGGTATTACATAGAAGCGGTGCAGCGTTTAAAGGGCTGCCCTAGAGTTGTGAGGGGCGATCTTGGAACTGAAAATGGCCATGTTAGAGGCTTTCAGCGTTTCCTTGTGCCCGTGGCTCCTAACGACACCCCTGAGAGTTACTTGGAGGGAGCAAGTACCGCCAATCAAAGGATTGAATACTGGTGGCGTTTTCTTCGCAGCCAGTGTCTGGAGTTCTGGTTATCCTTATTTGCAGACATCAGAGACAACGGGTACTTTGATGGTGGGTTTCTGGACAAAAACCTCCTTCAGTTTTGTTGCATGGGACTCATCCAGGTGAGTTAATAAAATATGTTTTGTTGCGTGCCTGGATGCATGCGTGTGTGAGTGAGAGATAAAGGAAACTGAGGAAGTGAAACGTGTCCTGTACTCGTTTGTGGTGTTCCCATTATCACAAATGTGGAAGCCAACTGCTCAGCCTCTGTGTGGTGGTGGTGGTGGAGGACCCCCATCTTTTTTTTCGGGCCTCCACTTTTTTTCTAGTGGCCATAACGGGTCACATTTGAGCATACAGAGTAAGCAAATATGTACTTGTAATGTGCTCAGATAATTTTAATAAGTGCTTACAGAAAGACAATTAATGTAGCCTCTAACTGCAATTGATTTACATCGGACAAACAGACCAAGCACTATGGCTCATAATACAATTACACCTCACCTGTTTGGACTATATTTTTATATTTCATTTTTACTTGCTGCCAGGAACATTTGGGGCCTGTTGGGTTGCACCTGCGATCACATCACGTCACAAAATAAAATGTATAAAATAAAAAATAAAATATAATAAATAACGTGTTAAATGGGTGGAAATCCCTAGATCAATGTTTAAATTAACACTCACGCATTGACTCTGTCGGCTATTTTTTGCCATGCATGCTCCCTTTCTTTTGCAGCTGAGGCTGTGTTACTTTTTTTCTGCAAAATTTGCATGTTATCGGCATATGCTGCCATCAGAATTTCGGCCTCAAGCGCTGTAAAATACATTGACCGCGCCTTCTTTCCCTCCGTCTCCATGGTGACTCGCTTAATCTGTGCTCCACTAATAAGGGCTTTATGTATCCTTGTGCGCGTGCTTAACTTGGGGTTAAAGCAACTCCGCGTTGATTGAACTAATTGTTATCAGCCTTTCTGAAACCGAATATTCCGAGTTGGACAGTTCGGGGTTACTCAACCCTGAGTATCGTTTTTCACTTCCTGAAATAGGGCCCTGTACCAGGTTTAGGGAATGGAGAGACTTGCAGGAAGAAAGAGACAAGACAGGGAGAAGCGGGTGAGAGGAGCAGGGAGTAAATGAAATCAAAAATTGTGTAAATACTATAATTTAGGTTTAAGCAATCGGCCGCCTTAAGGAAGAGCTCAACAACCAAGACTACAGTAACATCTATGTTGTTTATGTTGACATGGCATATGAAATTTTCTTATCTATAATATTAACTATTTACAATTTGGAATTATTTCGATTGGGATATCAAAATAACTTACAAATACAAAATACAATGATCAGTGACATAAAACAAATTGATTATTATGAGGTGAGTAGATGAGCCAAGCAGGTAGTAATAAGACTAATAGTACTAATGTAAGATATCACAGCATAACAGTAACCGTAGTTAGTGTGTGAAACACTTGTACAGATGACATTAGGTAAAGTACATGATTACAAAAATGCACATGATTGTTTAAAAATAATAAATTGCATAAATCTAATAAACCTTCCTCTCAGTGAGTGAGTTGTCTCATCGTGATTTGCGTATATGTATATACGTACATGCGATCGCATTTCTTAAATTTCTGTATTCTTTTTAACAGGATGAGCTGGATGACACTGCACAGGTTTGGAATACACACTCCATCAGGCCATCAGCAAACATCAATATCCCCAGTGGTCGACCTAATGTAATGTATACATTACCTGAGCTCTACGGGACAAGAGACTTCCTTTGCCCCACTGAAGAAGAACATGTTGAAATGTGTAAAACTGAGTGTGTTTTTCGACTGACCAAACCATGTGACCCCGATGTATATGAACTGTGCAATATCATCATGACTGAGTCCCATCTGACTCCACCAACAGACTCATATCAGGCTGTGAACTTGTACATGCATTTAAGAGAGAACATCATGGCATTAGTGTAAATTGCATACACTGCAGCAGAGAACATTACTCAAAATTGACCTGTGATATGTGCGAAAGCTAACTTCTGGATGTTAAACAGACTGTAAACTGTAAGCTTTCTAGTATACAGTCATTTATGAGAATATCTTATATAGAAATATTTATTGTTGTGTTCCAGGAGGGTCAGTGAACTAAAGTATAAAGGGGAGTCTCTGCCTGTTAATGATATTCTGAGTGTTCTTTAGCACAAAAACACTGTAATGTTCTGTCAAATGTTATCAAGTTCCATGTCTATGTGTATTACTTCGAATTACTTTAACTGTGTATTTGGCTTGATACATGGATCAAAACATAAGACACATCTTAATTTAATGTGTTAGGAGTTTTAATGTACAGTGTTTAATCAGATAATGGTGGTTTATGTTGAGTATTTTGTAATAATTTTTAAATGGTGAGTTGGTTTTTATTTACACCATCTGTATTTGTTAATGATGGGAATGTTTAGTTGTTGATATTGGCTAGAATACTGTTTAAAATCGAAGAGATATGATATTATGCCTTGCTGCTTTATATATATTATAACGCCAACTGTCACATTGGCAGGCTACATGAAATGGTACTAAGGGGCATCATGATCTGAGAGGGGGCACCTTGGCATTTTTCTGAACTCCAGTTTCTCTGGCTAAAAATATAGTTATTTCATGTCATTTTTGCTTCTTTTTTTTTAAACTATTTATTATTCCAGAAGAGCTTTAGTTTTTTAATGTTGGTTAAACAAAACTGAAAAAATAAAGAACTAAATAGAGACCTTTTGAACTCTTAGAATTTCTAATAGATATAAACATTCTTTTTTTGTCACTGAATTTATCTGAAGCTTATTTTATCAGCTGAATAACAAATTCTTTGCACCCACCTGTTCTGTTGATGAACAGCAATTTCATTCGAATGCTATTTTTGCAAAACTCACCACTTCTGAAAGGATGATATGTGTTGTTGAACTACCGGACAAATAAACTGAAATCTAATCAATTTCTAATTATTTTTGGACTATGTAGTACAGACAACTAAAAAATTGCAAATGACAAAAGCATATCGACAACATCTGTGTATTGACTGCCTGTGTTCCCAGGCACTTTAATTTCAGAGAAGGGTAGACAGAAGTGCATAATCTGTCAAAAATGTAGCAATACTTTATAATTAACCATATATACTATTTAATCTAATTAGAAATCCTGGCCTACAATCTTGTTTATCCTAGAAACTGTTAAATCTGATTATCATTGCTTGTTAATTTGTAATTATATAAGACACTATAAAGAATTGTGAATCATCTGTATGTCACATTATGGCAAAGTCCTTTCAAAAAAAAAAAAAACTTGTGATGGCAATATGATTTTTAACAAAACAACTAGTAAACATTTTGGAAGCTAATCAAGGGAAAATAGGACTTATTGTTACAAGATGATGTTTATAGGCCACATCAGCTTTAAGAATTTGTAAACAGGATCTTATCATTAACTTTCAATAACTTCTTTTGCAACCATAGTGACATTCTTTACTAATATTAATGGACTTTTCACCCTAAAATCAAATTTACCAATTTTTCTGTTCGCTAGCTGTAGTATTCCTTAATCCACATTGTTTTAGTGTGAGTTGCCCAATTTTAGAGATATTGACTGTACAAGCCTACCCCTCTCTTGTTTCACATGGTACTTAATGCTTAGTAGCAATGTCTTTATGTAGACCTTATGTAGCTTCATGTTGTTTTTCAACAAGGAAGAGATCTCTACAGCTAATATCTCCCAAAACTAGGCAACTCACTTCAGAACTTTCTAGATGGATAAACAGCAAGCCAATGTGTGTCACTGCAGGGTATGCAGGTGTGTTGAGAGAACGTACCCAAATGCAGACAAGGAGAGAGAGAGGACAATCAACTTAAAACAAAAGCGAGCCTTTATTCTGGCTGATGGCAAGAGTAAAAGAAAAAAAAATGACAATGTGTACAGCGAATTTTTATGTGATTTGTCCCTCTAACGCTAAACACAAACCTTGTTTTCAACAGAAGTTAAAGATGCGGTCATTTTCAAAGAATTTTAAACAATAAAGAGTCCTTGTGAAATATGACCTAACATACAACTAAACCATCAGAAAATTAAATTTGTGACTGCTTGTTATACGGCTGAATATATCAAATGTTTCAATGACAAAATGAAACAAGACAGAATTTATGAACTCAAGGTCTCATACAAATAAAAATTACAGCTCTAACCATTAGTACACTCATCAAGTTCAAATGATGTCCATTTCAAAGTAATTGCTGGAAAGGATATTGTCGAACTCTGTGCGAAATTCAGGATAAGAACTGTAAGTGCATGGCACTTCAAGGGTAGCTCCACAGGTGTGAGCAACAGGCCTTCTGTTGAGCCCAGTTTCAGCATTAAAGCACACCAAAATTTTGTCAACACATATTACAGAAGATCCTGTGCAGAAGCGCAGGATTTTTTCAGCTTTGGTTTCATCAGCGTTTTTAACATAACGCTGAAGATGGTTAAACGTTGTTTGTTCTCCGTGAGACAGCATGATTTTTGTTGCTTCCAATAGCTGCACTAGTCTTTTGCCTGTGGCCTTCTTTGTCTCATACAGAGATAACACACTTTCCTTGTCTGCCAGTTTCAGCTGCAGATGTGCCATGGGTGTGGAGAAGCAATCCATTATATACTTTGGCTCTTGGAGAATGGCCTTATGAGCCATTGTTTCAATGGCAGGCTGCATGTTGTTCTTAGGTGGTAGGAAGTGGGAACCCATCCTTGTAAAAAGGTCAAGCAGGTCCTCTTCATCATTTTCATCCATTGTGCCTTGGAGCGCCTTCTCAACAGCTGATCTCTCAACAGGAGGGAGATAGTTGAGAAACGATGCAATCAGAATGTCTACATCAACTGAGTCCATTCCGTGGATGCAAGCTAAAATGAAAGCCCTTGACAGCCTCACTGGAAAGACACCATGGTCTAGTAAGCCTTTCACCCATAACTGCCCAACTGCTTGCCATTCAGCCTCACTAAAGTCTGGCCTCAGCCTTGGAACTCGTTCATTTTCACCTTCACACTGTTCCAAAAATTGCTCCCAAAATGCAGTGTAAACCTCCCTTGACACCCCAGCATCATCAACAGCATTTTCATTTACAAAGTTCATCTTTAAAGTCACATTCAGAATGCGACTGTCCATAAATACAGTCAAAAGATCATCAACAACTTTTATCCTGCGAATTGATACATGTAGGGGGCTCTGTGGGTCTCCTGAATTTGATGGGGAAAGTTGGTTGCTTGAATCTAAACGCAAACCTTGTGCGATGAAATTCAGTCCATGGTCCTGAGTAAAAGACAAAACATGCACATTCCATAAGAAATGCAATTGAATTGTACAGATTACACAATATCAATGTTCTGAAAAAGTTTGAACATTTGTACATTCCCAAACCATGGTTGCACTGACAATTTATATATTACATTAACATTGTGGCCTGATGGATGTCCTTGTATGCCTCACAGAAAATTATACAAGTGTTCTTTACAGGTATGAGAAGACGCACTTCTGTGCAAAATAGGTAGAGAACACAATAGTGACACCAAAACAATGTCTCACTGCTGTGTTATGTAAATAATTTTATTTCAAGACTAAATTTCCTGTTTAATCTTATGTTAATGTAAAACACTGTAATTGTCTCTCAACTGACAATATCCTTTTAATTCAAATAGACCCACAAACTGCCATATCCTCAGAAAATAGCATGACATTTTTGGCATCTCTACAGTATGTAAAGGTAGGTGTTTATGGTTGCCTGAATTGATCCATCTTACCTGTGCAATCTGGGGTGCTTCCTCTTGTATTGACTGCATATGGGGTGTGGGCAAGCCATTAGCTGAAGACAATGGTAGCAGGAAACCATCCATAGGTAATCCATTTGTGTCGGCATTCTGAGAAGGAAGTATTGCATTAATTGACAACAGACACCTTAACCCTTCAAGATTAGAAGACTCTTCTTCAATCTTCTAACTTGGCCTATTCTAATTCATGAATGTTCTTAAAAAGTCTGCAAAATATGTCAATAGGTATTAAGAAATAGAACAAAAATACACCACTTTATTTTCAGCCTACATGTCTCACTTACAAGAGTAAAAAGACATATTACAGTGGAATTCCACAGGTTTTTATCAGATCTTGATTTTCTTATTGCTACTTAAAATGTTGTATTATTGCTGCCAAAAAATCAAGTTTTAAACAAACAAGAGATGAATTCTGATTAATAAAAATCGAAAAATTGTTTCACAGTACTGTAAGTTATTTCTTTTAAGATCCAAAAGAATATTACAGAAAATAACACACATGCTTAAATTTTGTCCAAGCAGGAATGCATGATCAGCTTTTTTAAAAGCAGAACTATGCAAGTTACTAAATTTGATTATTAATAAATTTCCATCTTTTGTCACACTTGAACCATATCAACCACAACTGTCCATGGTCTTACCTGTCTGAGATCCTCACTGTTGACATAATTCAGGGTTATCACGACTGTGTCATCACCATCTGCTCTGACAAGATCCTCTTCAGGATTCCATACAACCGTATCCGCTTCGTCTATGTGTGGAAAACGACATTCCAAATCTTCTAGAAGTTTGGCCTGGGACTGTAGTTTGAAGGATTTGTTAGGAACTATACTGGTCAGATCAATAATTTCAGAGCAGTGGTCAGGGAAATCATGATCACTTGAGTCAGTCTGCTGCCGCTGTCCCACGACAGTGTTTTTAATGTCTGTTGGGGTTGAATGCATATGATGGGATTTTCCTGGACTTTGTGTTGTCACTGCCTCACAGAGTGATTTCATTTTTTTTGGATTGGGTTCCATCTGGAAATTGTGAATCTGTGAACCAGAAAACAAACACAAGACACAAACGAAAATAATTCAATTATTTTTTCAGCAGCCAGTCATTTTGTACATGTTAATGAATACAAAGCTGGAAGTCTTTCACAGATGTACCTTACCACACAAGTCAACAACAAATTCCTGGAATAATTTCATCCTACAGAAGTGCAAATATTCGTAGATGTACATAAAGCACTTGAATAACACAACTCTTTATTGCAGTTGCACAGTCAAACCTAGTACAATAGTACAACAAAATTAGAAAATGTCGCATGTTACCACCGAGCACTAATAAACACAACAAAATACAGTAACTTTAAAGTGATCATTATTTTTAATAATAACTTTCTTATTTTAACAAACCTGTTTGCCAGTGTCACTGTCAGATGAATCCCCATGTTCAAGTAGATCTGGTACAAAATCATCTGTCTCACTGTCAAATCCAAGTAATGTCACTGGTGAATCTTCTTCAGTTATGCTGACAGAAAAATCCTCTTCAGATGAGGACTGAACTGTTAACAGTGTTTCATCTTTCGTGCAAATGTAAAATCTCAGGAGCTTCAATTTGGTTTGTTCATAAAGTTTGCCAACAGTGTCATCTAAAGCAATCGGATTTCTTTTAAAATCACTGATTTCAATGACAAAGTCTTCAACTCTCCCTTTTGGCGAGTACCCATCTGGAAAAAACAGGTCCTTTCCCATTTCCAAAATCTTAGCTACAGTTGTAGTTTTTTCCACAGTTGCATGTCTTGTTCCTCCACCATTTCTGGTTCTCACTTGACGGTATTCATTACTGCTTAAATGAAGCCATCCGATTTCTATTTTTCTGCAGGTCTTCTCTGCTGCAGTATTTCTCTGTCTTGACATCCCTTCACTTTGCTTTTGGAACACACCTGATGAACCACACAGCACTCCTTTGGTTTTTGATCTTACTTTCCGTGCCGCAATTTTATCTCTTAGGTTCTGCAGAAGAGTCTCTTTATCTGTGCTGTACTTAGTTTGTTGACAGAAGGACTGGACAGCTAGTCTGTCACCATATGTCCTTATGTATTTTGCCATTTGTCCATCAGTCATGACGGACAGCACTGCCTTATCCACCTGCAGACATAAAACATTAGAGAAATGGTATTAATATACTTTTACTCGAGGAAGCCACACTAGCACACATGGAATACTAACTGTATTAGAATAGAGTTCTTAATCACTGTTCATGATCATTATCAAAAGTTACTCTGTCAACTTCTGTCTTATTACTTTACTGTTGCTGTGTTAGTATTAGTATAGTAATAGTAGTAGATATTTATATATGTTGGGAGAAAACCCTGCAAAAATAAACCCAGGAGGAATAGAGACACAATGAGACAAAGTTACTTTTTTATGCTTAACGTGTACACGGGTGAGCTGCTGGAAACAACCCACAACCATGGACAGTGGCTTGGCATTTTTATAGGCCAAATCACAGAGACAGTGAGAACAGGATAAGAAAATAATAAACAGATAAAATAAACAACTCCATATATGGTGCTAGTCTCATCAGCAGAGAGCTGGGAGAGATAAAACAATCTGAAACATATGTCCCGAACAATATGTCTTTGCTGGGAAAGTCTAAAAAGACACTTCTAAACTAATCTAACCACAGACAAAGGGCATCTTTGTACATTTAAAAGAAGGTAAAGAAACATAGAATCATTTTTCCTGTAGCAATATACTACGTTACTAAAAAATATTTTGCTAGTAAGGTATAAGTAAGGTAAGTTCCACCAAGTATTTTGTGCCATGCTGTCCATGTTACCATGGTTATGGCACAGCCAGATAACAACATCCAAATTCATGGGCTGCAACCTCTTTTTTTTTTTTTTAAACTGTATTTATCACATTGTCCAAATTCATGGGCTGCATCCTCCTGAGGACGCTTTTGTAGACCGATTATGTCACAGCGATGCACCAAAGGCTATCCAATTTCGTAGACTCCTTTTTTTTTATTATTATTATTTGCACAGAAATGTACAACAATTCTGGCAATCTCTACAAAGATTCTATTTTAAATTCGTAAACTCCTCCGAATGCAGCAGACAAATGCGTCCTCCTTTTCACCTATTTTTTTTTTAATTATTGAACTTTATTAAGAAACAGTATACAGAACATGTATACAACCAGAACAAAATTAACATATGCCAGGGGGTGTAATACAAAGAATTACATTCACTTTTCACCGAATTTGAAGGATGGGTCCGGTGTGTGCTTCGTGGCCCATATCCCAGAATTCAAAGTGCGGCCCAGCCAAACTCCAGTTTCCGGTAATGGCGGCCGTTATAAGTTTTAAATGACCGTTATTATCTTTCTGGTCACAAATTTTTTTAAACACTTTCAGGGGAGACGTGGGTGTATAAACTTGAATATCTTCTCGGTTTATCAAGATATCGCATATTTGCAAAGTGCTTCGACGTTTTCCTTGATGTCTGTTACCACCAGCTCGATAGGTAGCCGAGAGCTCAAGGGTCACTAAAGCCGCCAAGAACGGCACAACTCGCGGCATATTATTTTCAGATCACCGCGGACTTTAGCTACTCAGGCTAAACTTAATATATAAAACACTTAGACAACCTAAAAATGTTAATGTTTGGCTTTTTTCAGTGTTTCATTTGTTCGTGAGTAAAACGGTTTGGCTGAGATTAAGTTATTAGATTAATTCGATAAAAAAACTTTATTAATCCCCCGGGTGGTTCCACATTGGTTTTACAGCGCTTAATCAACGTCACAGAAAACTGATTAAACAGAAGTGCGAGATGGTCGAGAATTTACTCCAGTGTCGTCTTATATTTTAGATAGAAAGGAGCAGACGGACGAGCTTATTACACTCCACTGAGACAGCGGTGACGCTAATCAGAAGGCTAGACCGTCCAATTTCCCAGCCGTTCTGAGAACCCGGCCCACGTAGACCACGAAGCCCGAGTCCTCGGAGGATGCAGCCATGAATTTGGACACGATTTGAAATTTCAAAACATATGGCACTTGACGAGTTATGTTTAATGAACCTGAACATATTTACAAGAATTAACATTAAAGGCCTGCATATACGACCTCGGTTTTTCAACAAGTTACTCGCCTTTTGAACCACGGTGTTTAATGCTTTGTTGTTTATACGTACTTTGTCTTGTTGCATGTGCATGATGTCGTCGTGTGGGACCTCTCTTGACCGCAGAAATGTTCTAAATCCTCCTCCATGTCGCACCGTATGGAGCCCGTACCGTAGCACCGCACCTTCAACTGAAACGCTATCAAAAGGAGCGGGATCTTTTGCGAGATCTCGCAATACTTTGCGAGATTCGCAAAAGTCCGTCTTAATTTTTTTTTTCTCCCTAATTTTTTTTTTTTCCTCCGTAATTTTTTTTTCTCCCATGTCCCCTGGGGGGCTCCGTACGAGAGAGAGGGTGAGAGAAAGAAAAAAAAAAGCTCCGTTGTTCATGTCAAAGATCCGGCTGTAAGAGCCATTTCGTTCGCGACCAACACTAATACTTTGGAGTGTGTACGTGTTTTTGAGTTTGGACGTATTTTGAGTTGTACGTGCTTCTCCAAACTCCAAACGCACGCACAAACTCCAAAGCACGTACAAACTGAAAACACATTTAAACTCCAAAAAGTAGTGATGTGCGGATCGATACTGAAATATTGATTCCTCCGATACCAGTCATTTATGTTCTAGAATCGATACTCATATTAAAATATCGATATTTTAGTAATTTAGGGTAAATTTGTAGGTTATCATTAACAGGAACAGAGTGCAAATAAACTATATCATTTGGATTGTCTACATTGGAAGGAACTACTTAGTCTTCCACCTGTCATAGTCATGTGTGACGTACGTTTGTATAAATGTGTCCAGCCCCTTGTTGTGCACACTCACAACAATGGCTGAGCATAAATGGAGTCATGTGCAGACATATTTTACTTCCACAAACGGTTGAGACGTAGTTTGCAATACATGTGGCAAGAAAGGGAGGTGTTGTGGCAACACTACTAACCTCATCAAGCACTTCAGAGTAAATCATATCACAGAACATGACGAGCTTATGTTGAGGTGAACTGAAGAGGAGGAGTGGACAGGGACAGGTGCTGCAAGGGCGAGACAGACATCTCTCACGGAGTCTTTAGTGCTGCAGGCAGGCATGTGTTCAATAGCGCACAACTTCAGGTTTTTTTTTATTTCTATATGATAACTGTGCATTATTAAGCGATAAGAACAAGTAATCCGATGTCCTGTAATCATTATGACCCTATAATTGAGATACAATTACTGAAATACGTTTTTGTACAAAGTATCGGTATCGGATCAGTATTGTCGATACCACCCTGAATTTTACTTGGGATCGGAAAGGAAATCAGTGGTATCGCACATCACTACCAAAAGCACGTACAAACTCCAAACGCATGTATAATTCTAAAATACCTACAAACTCCAAAGCACGTACAGACTCTAAAAAACACGGACAAATTCCAAACCACGTACAAACTCAAAAACACGTACAAACTCCTAAAAGCACGTACAAACGCCAAAACATCTACAAACTCAAAAGCATGTACAAATTCCAAAACACGTACAAACTCAAAAAACACGTACACACTCCAAAGTATTAGTGATGGGTTGGTCGCAAACGAAATGGCTCTTACGGTGTGTTCACACCGAACGCGATGGACGCGAACAAAACGCCCCAAACGCCCCTAATTTGACGCGTGCACATTCGCACCTCAACGCGTGTCCAAGAAAAATCCATAGTGCGTCAAAATATCATATTTTGATGCGCGTGAACCGGAAATGTGGGAGGAAGTTGTGCCAGACCGGTATCTTTGCAAGATGGCAGCTGTCGAGCTAGCGCTTGAAGAGAGAGTCTCCCTTCTCTATGTACTGTGGAGAGCAGAGCAGCGGCGTTAAAGACGTCTTCGCCATACCTGGGTCCATCAGGTCCTTCAGAGGCGTGAGCAGTTTGGTGAGTTTCACCATTTGCTCCAGGAGCTGCGCCTGGATGACGGCCGATTCCATTTCCTTTCACTCGGCCAGTTTGAGGACCTGCTTTCCCTCGTCGGTCCCAGCATCGCCCGCCTAGACACCAATTACGCTCAATCCCACCTGCAGAGCGCCTGTCCATCTGCCTGAGGTTAGTAAAAGTATCTAATACGGTAGTCCTTTATTGATACCTGTGCTAATATATGCTAAACCATCCATTTATACACTGCTAACATGGATGTGCTATGCTAACAGTGAATGCTCTCGGTGTTTACTGATAGCAAACTGTGGTACGGAGACGACTGTTTATAATATTTCTAGTGATACTCAGAAGGTCTCATCAAATCCCGATTTAATTCAATTTATGCTGTTATCAGTGTTTGCAATGATAGCATGGCTGTGGTGTCACATCAATGTATGCGCTCGGTGTTTGCTGATATCAAACTGTAGCATTAGGACCACTGAGTTAACCTTTGTAGTGATACTCACTCCTTTTTATTTAGACCTGGTTTAATTCGGGGGGTTAGGGGAATCTTACAATGTCACGTGACTGAACCGTTATACCGATTGAAAAAAAAATCAGATGAGGAGGGTATTATTGTTGTCTCAGACAGATTGCTGTGTCTGACTTTGAGTTACTGCAACGGCAGAGGGCAGCAATACTACTTGGAAGCGTGTAATCCACCAAACCAACAAAGAAGAAGATAGCGCCACTTCTAACCTTCCAGACTCAGCTCAGCAAGAGAGCGTCAAGAGCAACCGTCGCAGAACTGTCAACTTTCTATTTCATTGTAAGTGTACCATTAAACATGAAATTCAA